TCAGGAACCTCTCAGGGTCCATCAGGCGCCTGGGACGAAACCATCTACGCGGTTCCGTCTCCCTGCGGCGGGGGGGGAGCGGTCCGGAAGTCCATCTTCAGGAGTAAATGATCTGACCATGACAGAGGCTCAGTAGTTACCTCCCCTGTTTCCAGATCATTTTGCCACTGGCCGGAGACAAAAATTAGATCCAGTGTGTGTCCTCCTATGTGAGTGGGGGCATGTACTAATTGCGTCAAGTCCAAGGCCATCATGGAAGCCAAGAACTCCTGAGCTGCCGCCGACGCCTCGCCCACTGATGGCAGATTGAAATGTTCAAAGTGACTGTTCAAAGATATAACGGTAGTGAAAAAAGTGACGTATGACTGTTTTTCACACTTACAACCGTTGCGGCATCCCCGTGGTCTCATGATCAAAATTCAAAATAACTTTTACTGAGAGAAAGTGGTTGCAGGAAAGTCGGGTGAAGTCTGAAGATCCCGCACTAAGCACAAAGCTATTGTCATGGTTCTGACAAATGAAACTCTTCAAAGTACTTCAAGACATTGTTTACCTTAAAGAATCTTTGTTTGAGTAGCATAGCTTCGGCACATACGTGGTCGAAGCCGAAATCTGAATTCCCCTCCCCTGAGCGCATAGTATCAAAGCACAATTCACCCCCCTAATTTACAGTCATACATTCTCCAATTAGTTTGAATTGCAAGCTTTCCCTCCCATTCTCCAACCCCGCCATTTCTTTATCATCTCTTATTTCAAAGGCCCCTGAATTGTTATGTCTAACTAACTCCCATCACAATCCTCCTCCTCCCCCAGTATCATCTAAGAGTAAAGCATAGGAAAGAAAAAGGCTGCATCTCTCTATGTCGTCAAAGCAAGAACCTCCGATGTTAGCAGCATTGACAGCTATTCTTTCATTTCCCCCAAGTCCCAACCCCTGACCAGTCCACCGGCAGGCAATATGAAGATGTTTTGAGAATGCTGAGGTGCTAGACAGATAGCAAGTCATTCTCAGGGCATGACGGCCTTGGAACCAGGCTGGAACTGGCTGGGAGGAAGTCTGCTTCGTCTCCGAAGACAACTCCCCCTCCCTAATTCCCAAGCGTTACAGCAAAGCGAAAGCATCCAAACGTGCAACTGTTTCTGCCCCCCCCTGCAACAGAATGGCAGGACACGAAGGTGGACCTGACACTCATTGTTGTGTCCTGAGCCTGCAGGAACTGACTGCAGGCTCAGAGTTGTTGCAAATGGTCCTGGGCAATCCCAAAAGCTGCCCGGGACCAGACAGAGTGGCGCCTGTCTTGTGCGCATGCGCAAGGCATGGAAAAGGCTAAATTCCTATTGGTTCACGCTGTCCAGGTTTCAGGCACTATAAAAGGCCTGCGTGCCTTTTGTTTTTCGCTTGGAGTTGGAGAAAGAAATAAAGAGCTTATTTTCACCATGCGTCTTCGTCAATTGCTTGCGAACTGAAAACACAACACTTATATTGATGATGGTTGGAGTGTCCTGGAGTCATGTGATCTCCTTTTGCGACCTTCTGACAAGCAAGGGAGCCAGATTCACTTACCAACCACGTTACCAAGTTAGCAACTGCAGTGATTCACTTAACAACTGTGGCAAGCAAGGTCCTAAAACGGGGCAAAACTCACTTAGCAAATGTCTCAGCAATGGCTCAGTTGTGGCTGTTAAATCAAGGACTACCTGTATGCGACAGTAGCCATGTGGTTAGGTACCTTTGATTGTCCATCAGGGGTCTCATAACTCAACAGATACCCCTCAGGGGAAGCCCTGGGGGGTGACCAGATGAGATGCGCACTGCGAGGTGAAATTTCTGTAGCATGCAGGTCCCGGGGCCCATCTGCTCCTGCAGGAGGAAGAAGATGAGGATTAACAAAAAAAAAAATGAACTAAATTGCACAATAATGAATTTAATTCTACCTTGCGCTATAGAGGAGCAGAGAAAAATCTATGAGTTCTTTTGGGAAATGAAGCCCAAGGGACATTTTGCCCAACGTTTCAAAAATAATAATAATTCTGGTTTAACCAGCCCCGGCTTACAGCATTGCGTGAACTCTGCTGCCTCGTTCGTCTTCAAGCACCTGGCATTCGTGTGGTATATATTTCCTTCCAAGATGGCTCAATTTTTAGCCAAAATGAAATTTGATTCCTGAAATTCACTCGTGTTAAAATCAGGTTATGAATGTAGAAAACTTCCTTGAGTGTTCAGCTTCGTTATACATCAGCTTGATGTGTTACAAAGATATGGTAAAGTCAATGAGGAAGCCAGCATGGAAGCTCACAAATTACAATCAATCAATCAGAATAGAGCTGGAAGAGACCTTGAAGGTCTTCTAGTCCAACCTCCTGCTCAAACAGGAGACCCTGTACCAGGGATAGGCAACCTTGGCTCTTTTATGACTCGTGGACTTCAACTCCCAGAATTCCTGAGGCAGCATGGCTCAGCTTGGAAACCTCTCCCTTTCCCCTCAGCATGGCTGGCTCAGGAATTCTGGGAGTTGAAGTCCACGGGTCATAAAAGAGCCAAGGGTTGCCTACCCCTGCCCTATACCATTTCAGACAAGTGGCTGTCCAGTCTCTTCTTAAAAACCTCCAGTGATGAAGCACCCACAACCTCTGAAGGCAAAGCTGTTCCACTGGTTGATTGTTCTCACTGTTAGGAAGTTTCTCCTTAATTCCAGGTTGCTTCTCTCCTTGATTAGTTTCCTATCCTTGTTTCTTGTCTTGCCTTCTGGTGCTTTGGAAAATAAATTGACCTCCTCCTCTTTGTGGCAGTCCCTCAGAAACTGGAATATTGCTATCATGTCACCGCTTCTTTTCTTTAGATTGGCCGTGCCCAATTCCTGCAATCGTTCTTCATATCTTTTTGTTTCCAGGCCCTTAATAATCTTAGTTCCTCTTCTTTGCCCTTTTTCCAAAGTCTCAACCTCCTTTTTGTAATGTGGTGACCAAAACTAGATGCAGCTATTCCAGGTATGGCCTTACTAAGGCTTTATAAAGCGGCACTAATACTTCGCATGATTTGGATTCTATGCCTCTTCTTATGCAACCAAGGATTGTATTAGCTGTTTTTGTGACATCACGTGACGTCTCATTTTAATAGTTGTGACCAAAAGGTCATAGAATTGGTTGCGGTCATGTGATGCATCGCTTACTGACCACGCCGCTTAATGATGGTATTTCTGGTCCCAGTTGTGATCGTAAGTCAAAGGCTGCTTTCAGACGTATATATATATATATTTTTTAGAAGCCATCCCTACTGACTCCACTCTTCACTCTGATTGATGGATTGACTGGTTAATTGAACATGCACCATCAAGTGTTGAGAGATAGCAACCACATAGATACATCTTTCCAGGAGGGGCTGTCCCCAACCTGGCCCTTCAGATCTGCCATTACCACTGAATGGAGTTCATCCACTCACTGTCATGGTTCCGACATGAAACTCTTCAAAGAACTTTGAGGCATTGTTTACCTTAAAGAATCTTTATTAGAGAAGCATAGCGTCAGCACTAACATAATCGAAGCCAAACATCTTAAAACAGCACCTTGGGACACCGTGTCATGGTCCCGACAGATGAAACTCTTCAAAAAACTTCAAGGCATTGTTTTCCTTAAAAAATCTTTATCCGAGTAGCATAGCATCGGTACGTACATAGGCCAAGCCAAAATCTGAATTCCCCTCCCCTGAGCACATAGTACCAAAGCACAATTCCCTCCTCCAATTGACAGTCATAAATCACATTCTCCAATTAGTTCGAAATGCAGGCTTTCCCTCCAGTTCTCCAGCCCGCCAATGCTTATCATCTCTTATTTCAATAACCTTGGTTCACACACTAGGTCCAGCATTGTTGTCTAGCTGAACTCTCATGCACATTCCTCCCCCCGGCATCATCTAGCTCTAGCTCCAAAAGTAAAACATAAGAAGAAAATGGTTGCCTCTCCAACTGTTGTCAAAGCAAAAACATCCGATGTTAGCAGCGTTGACACTCACCAGTAGTGAAAGTAGCGCTGATGGGAGAACTTCGGTTTCCTTCCTTTTCTCCATAGACATTGGCCCAATATTCCATGTCCCTTTGCAGCTCTGACAGCTGAAGTTGGACACGATTTCCTGGTACTGATTCAGAGACCTGTGAGCCTGGGGGGGGG